AAAAGGGATGGAAATTAAAAGCAAACGCAGCATAACAACTGCTGTGTTATACAATACAGGGGATAACCAAACAGGTATTTGGAGTAGAATCTACAGCAGCGATTTACATTTACACCGGTTGAAGTGTTTACCGGGCCAAATTCCACAGTTTGGATGGTGTGGTGTTTTGGGTGTAGCGTACAGTTTCAAATTTGTTATTCAAACAGAGCAAAACAGAAAGCACCATCTATCACAGCAACCGAAACGGTTGAGCGAAGAGGGCTATAAAGAGGACTTAAAGAAGTGTTTGGGGGGTGGGGTGGGGGAGGAGGGGAGCATTTGGTCAACGCCTTTGGTGCAACAGGTGGTTCAGACCATGCGTGCAAGGCTCACATCTGACTTACCACGGGTTTGCGTGCTCTCCCTGCATGTCCTGGCCCCACATAGTGGTACAGGGATGCGGTGTGTTGCTTCTTTTCCTTTCCCCTGGGGACTGTCTCCTTCTTCGCCTTTTTCTCGTTCTGCTTGAGGGCTTCGTCTTTGGCTGCCCAGTCCAGATTCCGGACGGCTTCCTCTCGAGATTTAGTTTCTGATTTCATAATGGTCTCTTCTATTACCTCCGTCCGTCTCTGCGAGGTGTTGGTTCGGCTGCTGCTGAACCTGCCTTGAGACCTTTTCTCGACGATGTGTGGCATTGTGAACTGACTAAACCCGTTGCAAGAGCCTTGGGAGTGTGAAGGTTCGAAAACTTGAGGTCAACTGCAGAGGCTTAATAACCCCTGTCGTAGTTTCCTTCACAGATCGTCTTGAGTCTCGATTTCCTTTTTTTTTTTGTTTTTTGCTTTAATTCAGAGCTTGGTTAATCCATTAATTAATATATCCATTACGATTGTCAGACCTTGATGAGAACAGTAATCCGAAGAGAAAAGAAGATCAATCCCCATAAACATCCTTGTAAAGAAAGAACAACAACTAAACAAACACAAAATTGTGTAATGAAATTCTTAACATCCACCGAAATTCACCAACTAGGAACGATAACCCTCAGAAAACACAAGGCTGAGGAGATAGGGAGATGAGGAGATGCTTGCACGGAATCCCTGCGACGCCGTAAACACTCCTAGTACACACAACAATATCCCGAGGTCGTGGACCTCAAGACTAGGAACAAAACAGTAATAAATCCAGCAACGCTGAGAGCGTGATGCGAATAAAACACTGAGTTGGGGGCTTCCAAAAGCGGGCGTTAAAAGGCCGAAACAGGCCCTGAGCTCAAGAGAAACAACATGGGAAGATCTCTAGTAAGCCATAAAGAGGGGAATTAGGAGAGGTGGAATCCAGTATGCCCCTCTTGACACTAGTACGAAACGAAAAAGCCAAGAGCTGAACGCCTACCTAGCACCTAGAGATCCCCAGAACTCCGTCGAGCAGGAAACCTCTAATTACAACTCTGCTACGCGTTCATTTCGAGGAGCTCAGGTCTTCCGTCTCCCATACCGTCAGGCGCCGTGTGCCAGCCAAGCACCTAGTAAAGGGGAAGAAGAGACATTCCTTTCCCCTTCAGAAAACACCGGATCGAAATCAGGGAATCTCTCAACGCACTGTTGTTGCATGTAGAGTTGTATAGAGTAGAGAAAGAGAGAGAGAGGGAGAGAGAGAGAGAGAGAGAGAGAGAGAGAGAGAGAGAGAGAGAGAGAGAGATACAGAGAAAATACACGCCCGCTCAAAGATTTATCTCCCGTATCTTCCACTTAATCACAACACAACGACTTGTCAGCTTTGCGAATACGCGAAAAGAAAAGGTTGTAGTAATACCCAAGACCGATTTTTTAGGGTTCCTTTCCAGTGTGTGGTACACAGCAGTTTAGTTATCTGTTTATCAATATAACAGACTGGCAAGACAAAAACCAGACGCCCAGCAAAATCATCTTTGTCCAAACCAATTTGCTCGTTTCAAGACAAAATCCCCTTTATAGAGTATCTCTTGATCCATGCGCAGTATCTCGTAAGGTTTTCAACCCTCCCAACAATTACTCACCCACACAGGAACAACTCAAGTCTACCTGACGGACAGGTAACTGGGCCTAGATTTTGTGAGTACATAGATGTGTGCACATGTGCGTGAAAGGATGTCATAATATGCACGACTGGGAGGAGGTGGGCGTGTTAGAGATGAAAGAGCGAGAGAAAGGAGAGAGAGGGAGAGAGAGGGAGAGAGAGAGGGGGGAGACAGAAAGACACAAAGAAAGAATGAAAGGCAGAGGGAAAGAGAGAGATAGATAGAGAGAGAGAGAAAGAGAGAGAGAAAGAAAGAGAGAGAGAGAGAGAGAGAGAGAGAGACAGAGAGAGACAGAGAGAGGGAGAAGGAGAAAAGCTCACAGGCGGGGTTTAAGGGGAGGGGATTGAGTGCCTTAGCCAAAGCCCCAGCAACATAGTTTCTTAACAATCCTGAAGGTCTATTACTCATCGGGAATTCTAGAAGTTTATAAAAAGTGTCTTTTAAAGTGCGCGTCCATTTCCACTCTCTCTCTCTCTCTCTCTCTCTCTCTCTCTCTC